TCTGCAGCCCCTCTGGTAGCCAGGAAGAGCTGGGAGAGAAGTTTTAATCGCTTCCATTGTCATGGTCTAATCTTAAGCTAGTCAGCTCAGACTGCAGCCAGGCACTGGGGAGCAAAACAAGCGATGCTGGCCTGGCAGTCCCGCTTTGGGAGGCTGAGCCAGCTGCTCAAGCCATTCCTTTGTGAGCACCGGAGTTGCCAGAGGGAACCTGGGCTCCCTGTGCAGATCACATCCAGATGTGGGCTCAGTAGTACTCTGCCTCACAATAAAGCAATCCTAAACCAGGGATCTTGGCACTGCTGCAGCCTGTGGGAAATGCAGTCTGACTCCAGGCTGTGGTTGGAAACTTCTCCGAGTGTTTACTGCTGGTGGTCGGAGGCCCCCTGACATTGCGAGCAGTTGGAAAATAGCTCTTCCATTTTTACTGAAGCCTTATCTGATGGTTTTGAAGCATGAGGTTTATTTTCCTCCTGCTCCACCTCCTCACTCTGTGCTCTGTGAAGGCGCTAGCCTTCAGCTCTGCTAGCGTAAATAAAGCTGCCTCCTTGCTCCTCTCAGCCTGCTGTCATCCCCTCCAGCTTGCTTGTGCCCTGTGGCACAGCCTGCTCCGATGGCTGGGGCGCCTGCTTACACTTCTCCAGCCCTTGCGAGTGGCAGGAGAGGAGGGAACCAGACACCCTGTGTCTTTCTGTGCTCATCTTGACCAGACTTCAGCAAGAAACACCCCTGCTGGGCTCTTAAGACATGAAGTGCTGCAATGTCATCTTGTCTGAGTTCAGTAAGGGAGAATTTCAAATGAATAAATAACAAATTGATTAGCACAAGTGGTGCAATGGGCACTCGTGCTCAATATTGGGTTCATCTGGCTTTCCCTTTTTTGTCTTTGGTTTGCAAGGCAGAGTGGGACTTGTAGTGGAGACACCAGAAGGTGTCAGGTGTGATGCTGGGTCTTCCTGCAGCTGGAGAAGCACTTGCCAGTCTGGGTGCTGAGACACCTGGGTGCTTAGACCTGCATGGCCATCAGCAACACCTGGGTGCTTAGACCTGAATGGCCATCAGTGTTGGTGAGCTGGGCTGGTCAAACAATTGATGTGGGCACTTATCTCTGAAACTGAAGAATGTCTTGGTTTGTTTCAAGCTGCTGTGTGCTCTGCAGGGCCTTGCTGCACTGACTTGGGTTTGGGCTTTTTTCCTTCCATGCTCTGAGGAGGAGGGTCTCCCCACATCCCCTGCCTCTGGGGGTCTCTGCGGGTCTGGGTCCCTGTTGGTGCCGCAGGGAGGGGGCACGGCGCAGGGATGGCGCTCATCTCACCTGCCGCTAGCGCACCCCTTGCACAGTCACTGCCTGTCAGCTTGGCAAAGGCACCAGGTTTTCATCCCCCCCCCCAGCTAAACTCCTGTTGAAGCCGGTTTAGATGCAGGTGGGCTGAGGTCCTCACGGCGTGTCCCTTTGCCTCCTCTTCAGCTGGCTGCGGTTCCTAGCAGCGGTGGGAAAACTGCTGGTGGCAAGTAACCCAAGCTCACCTAGCCATGGAGAGCCAGGTGCTGTCCAGAGGGTGCTATCAGCTGCTAAGACCTGGTTCCAGAAATATTCGAAGACTGGAGCCACAGTGCTGGCACATGGAAAGATCCTGCTCTGATTATTTATTAATAATAAAAAAAAAAGCAAAAGAGAACATTTACCAGCATCAACTTTTAGAAAAAAATAAGTAAGGTGAAGAGCTTCAAGTCTTTTCTTCTGGCTGGGAACTGGGAACTGCTCTCTGCTCTG